ATAGTAGTCTGGGCTGGAATTTGTTTTCATAGAGGACCTGGAGTACTCTGCTCCATGCTCTTCTTGCCTGCATGGTTTGTGAAGAGAAGTCTGCCGTAATTCTGATGGGTTTTCCTTTGAATATGATCTGTTTCTTTCCTCTAGCTGCTTTCAGTATATTATTCTTGTGCTAAATTTCTGGGATCTTGACTATTATATGTCTCAGTGTCTTTTTAATAGGGTTGAAGTTATCTGCTGTTGTGTATGTTTCATTTACCTGAATGTCAGATTGTTTCCTCATGTTTGGAAGTTTTCTTCTGTTACTTCTGCCCATATTCTTTATATCATTTGTATTGACGCCTTCTTTCTCATTGATGCCTATTAGACTCACATTATTCATCTTTGAATCATCTTGCAGGTAATGAATTACTTTTTCCTGCATCCTAGTTGCTTTTAAGAGATCTTTTCTTATCTTTTCACTAGCTGCAGCAGCGTCTTCAAGATCTGAAAGTCTACCTTCGCTTTCACTCATACGGTTTTGCAAGCTTGTGATTGAAATTTTAATTTGCTCTATATCTCTTTGACTCTGCTTCATGCGATCTATTTCTTTCCTGTATTGCTCATTTAAGGAATCTGTTATTTTTCTAATATCCTTTTTGGTATGGGTTTTTCTTTCTGAAAATATATAGATAAGTTTCAAGAAAATCTCTTACATGAGGCTAACTGACTCAATTTTCTGCACCCCTGACAGTTTGAGGGATTTCTTTCTATTCCATTTTCTTCTGCCCTTGGCTGGACCCAGACTCTTACTTAGGTTTAATGCTTTTCTCCATTGGACATTTACTCTGAAGGATCAATGGCACAGTTGCAGTCCTATATTCAGTGGCAGCAAGAAAGAGCCTATGAGTGCAGGATGGAGATACAAGCAGCTGTGCCAGTCTGGGAGCAGCCCTGCTTTAATGCAGTGATCCAACGGGTTGGCTGAAATAAGTGTCCAAGGGAGAGGACTGGTCTGGGAAGGGTGTTATCTTGAGTCTCATTTGGACTCTAGTCAAGTGACTATGGCGTTGCTTTTCTTCTCCCTTTTGGCTCATTGCGCATACATTGGAGCAGCTTTGATCATGAAGAAGAGTTTCTGTTGTGTGCACTGCAGTCAGGAACAATCCTCTGTTAAGACTCAAGTCAGAAGCTCTCAGAATGTTGCTGAGAGTCTTCCAGCCTGATTCAGATGACTTGCCCTATGAATTCTACTGAGTGTGATTGCATGGTAAGGTGCTGTGATGCAGGCAGCCCTCAAAATTCAGTGAAGCAAGGCCAAATGGCCCCACATGGAGCGGGTTGTGGGCACTCAACTTCTGGTTGGAAGTGGGCAGAATAAACTGTGGCAGGATCTGAGCTTCCTGTGTCACGTATTAATCTTTGTTGCTATGTCAGCTGTCAGTGGTGCGCATTTTTGATCCTTTCTCACACTCTTGGTGTGGTAAGGACATCCTGTCCCAGAGAGGTGATGTCCCTACAGTCAGAGCCTTGCCTGTGCCAGCTCAGAACTCGCAACACCACACCTCATCATGCTGTTGGATTGAAGGGATCCTCATGATGCAGGTGTGAGGCTTCAGTGTGGGTGAGATGGTCCAGTGTTAGGTGCTGTTTCCTCCCAGCAGCAGACCAGGCATTTGCTTTATACCTAAAGTGACTCCAAAGTGTCCCAACAGTTTGAAAACTGATTGGCTTCCAAGGCCCATTCACATTAGGGAATTAATTCATTGGTGAGTTCCGTATTTAGATGGGCTGTTTTTTAGAGACCAGTCACTAGAGGAAAGGACTGCAAAAGTATATTCTTGTGTGCAGCTCCTCCATCTTTTCCTCCTTCCAGGGTGCATAGCTGAGTACCTTTTCCTTCAAAGTAACACTTTCTTATCATGTTTCTATCTTATATCTAGCAGAATGTGAGCTGAAATAAGCTAGGTAAAATTCTCCAAATTGAAGAAATATTTAACATTGCCTATGATAAGGCTCAGTGTGAGGGACATGTTCAAGCCTGCTTCATCTTCTATATTATATCCGGAGTAATGCAGTAAAGAAATAAACAATATGTTTATCTTGGTTTAGAATGCAAAAAAGAAACAGCCAATTGGTCAAAGTAGCAAAGATGAAAATATTGCAATAAAGAACAATTTCCATAAAGGGCTGTGAAATCGAAACTTTCAGTCTTCAAAAAGTGGGTCATCTATATGTGATTTATTAATGGGTGAAAGATAGAGAAGCACCATTTCACATAACTATTATGATTCATGGATATTTATGGACTTTTTAAAAGCAAACACTAGCCAGTTGTCGTGGTACATGCTTATAGTCTCACCACTTGGTGGGCTCAGGCAGAAGGAATGTTAGGAGTTCAAGTTCAGCCTGGCCTACAGAGTGAGGTCAAGGCCAGTTTCAACTACAGTGTAAAACACTGTGTCAAAAAAAAAAAAAAAAAAAAAATGCTGAATGAAGTAGGAGTGAATAATGAATAAAAGAAAATTGCACCTGATGGGAAGCACCAGGTAGAAGTCTGCACACATGTCAATGGTACAGAGTACAATGGTGTTCTGTGCAGGGAGAGCAAAGTAGACTCATGCAGTGTGGGAAAGCAGGGGAGATTGGTGTGTGGCAAGATCAACTCCTGAACTAGCAGTTTTCCTCTGAAAATGTTACTAATGTGAATTAAAGGAGAAGCTCTATGCTGGCTCAGCTTGAAAGTGGCTCAAAACTTTAGTCAAGAAAGAAAGAAAAAGGAAAGAGAAATAAATTTACATAAAGTTATTCAAAGAATTCTTTTGTTACTGTTAAATTCAATTTATCACCTTTGAACCCTAATTGAAAATTATGTCTCTGTTGGTAGCTTGAAAATCAGTTAGGCAATGTTGCCTAAGTGTAATGAGGAGGATGTTACACAGGAGTAGAAATTATTACAGGGTACTTTTCATGGCAGTAAAGATTTGTCCTATGAACTTCACACTGAGGAACATCTGGTCCTTTATAGTTTTACTTATCAGTATGTGAAATTTTGCTATTGTCAAATCTCCAAAAGAGTAAAAAGAAAACTCACAAGCTGGGTAAAAATTATAGCTGATTATCCCTCTGACAAAGATCTTCTATCTAGAACTTGTAAAGAATTTTTAAAAATCAAGCCCCCAAATTCAAAGACCCAATCTAAAAATGGGCATCTGAGATGAATATACACTTCCCATAGGAAGAAATACAAATGGCAAATAAATATATGAAAAATATTCAAAATCATAGGTTACTTAAGAAATCCAAATTAAAACAACACTGAGAGTCCAGCTCACCCCAGAAAGAATGGCTAGCCTCAAGATGTCAGCCAATAACACATGCTGGAGGGTTTGTGGAGTAAAATGAACCTTCTCCACTATTGGAAGTATAGACTGGTAAAACCACTATAGAAACCAGTGTAGAGATTACTTAAAAAGCTAGGATTGGAGATCCCATCCAAGCCAGCTGTTCCCCTCTTGGGTGTTTTTCCAGAAGAATTGAAAACCTCATGCCACAGTGATACATGTGCACCCATGTTTATAGCAACCCAATTTGTCATAGCTAAATACGTGAAACAAGCCAGATGCCCATCAACTGAAGAGTAGTTAAAGAAGATGTGGTGGTTTCGCACAATGCATGTTATGGTTTGTGTATAGTCCCCCCAAAACCTCATGCAGTCTTGGGGCTGCTTCTTGAGTTTGTGATTGATTATTGTGGGTGTGGATGCTGCCCCTGCCCTGGGGCAGGTGATTTGCATTACAATGTGAGGTGGAAAGAGAAGCTAGCTGCCTGAGCTGCTGTTACCTCTCCCTTGTGCTCTTGCTCTTGGCTGCCACTGTGAAAGGTTGCTTTCTGCTCTGTGCTGCTCTGCTTTGGACTCAGATGAATATGGACAGAAACCTCCAGTAAGCTAAATAAACCTGTGAGCTAAATAAACCTTTCCTTCATTTTGATTGTCAGGTATTTGTCCCAGCAACGAGAGAACAGTAACTAAGACAGAATTTGGTACCAGAGGAGTGGGGTTGTTGCTGTGGCTCAACCTGACCATGTGGATTACAAGCTTTTGGGAATGGCTTATGGGAAGAGCTAGGAAACGTTCAGAGATGTCGCCTACAAGCGAAGCGCTGAAACAGCTTTAGCTGTTCTGTTTGGGAGATTCTGGCCAGAGCTCAGAAGACCAGAAGGCTGATAGAAAGCCAGCCTGTACAGACCAGGCTGGGGAGGTTTCTGCTGGGAAGGACTGCATTGGTTGTTGGACTCCAGATCATTTGTGTTTTGACTTGGCAGAAAAGTTACCTGCATTTTGCTCGTGTCCAGAAACTTTGCCTGAGAGTGAGTTTAAGCATGGTGGACTGATCAGTCTGGCAAAAGACATTTCAAAGCAGTCAAATATTGGGGCAGTGGCCTGGTTGTTACTGGGGGCTTTTAGCCAGATTTATGTTGAGAATCAAGAGCAAGGAGCCCAGCAGGAAGATTTAAAATGTTGTGAGCTTAGGCAGAAAGAAAGTGCCAAGAAAGCTGTGGACTGCAAAGATGGAGCCAAGAGGCTCTCCATTGCCAGGAAGGAACCTGAGACCGGAAAGGATGGCCTGAGGGCATCACAGGAAACAGCATGTCTCCACCCTTTGCAGCCTCAGAACTACAAAGGTCAGGGATTTTGCCTTGAGGAGAAAGCTGCTGAGCCCCCTGTTCCGGAATGGCAGCAGCAGCCACCGCACCAGGTTCCAGAATGATGCTGGTGTAGAGAATTTGTTCCTGGGAATCAGGGTCAGAGTGCTCAGCCATCCAGGCACTCGACCCCTACAGCCAAGAGACAGGAAAACCTGGCTCATGCTCCAGCTGGGGGCAGCCCTTGGCATCATCCACCCAGCGCTTGCAGAATGCAAGAGTTCTGAGGTTAAGAAGGCTTCCACCTCGATTTCAGAAGAAGGCCTGGGAGGCCAGGCAGTGTGCCCCTGGGAGGGCAGTGTCTGAAGCTGTGAGTGAGAAGCCTATTTAGTGGGAACCCCAGAAGTTTGGAAAAGCCAGGAACATGGATCATCTAAGGGAAACTGCAAGGAGGGAGCAAAGCAGACCTAACAGGGACGCCATGGGAGCCACCACCACGAGTGCCACAGGGGCGGAGCCTCATGGAGCTCACAACTCATCACAGATTGCTTCGGATGTTCCACATGGAACTGCAGGACCTAATGTTTGCCCTGCTGGATTTTGGACTTGTTTTAGATCCAATGCTTGGTATCCTGCTGTGTGTACCTTTTGGAATGGGAATGTTTATCTTGTACCTTTGAATGTTGCAAGCGTTTAAGTTTTCATTTGTACAGGAGCTCACAGTTGAGAGTTTCCCTTGGATCTTGGAGGAGACTTGAAACTTGGGTCTTTTCAGCAATGCTGAAACTGTTGGGACTTTGGCAACTGATAGAGATGGACTAGAATGTCTTTTGTGTAAAGGGATGTGCATGAGTCTTTGGGGGTCCAGGGGCAGAATGTTATGGTTTGTGTATAGTTGTCCCACCAAAGCCTCATGCAGTCTTGGGGCAGCTTCTGGAGTTTGTGATTGATTACTGTGGGTGTGGATGCTGCACCTGCCCTGGGGCAGGTGATTTGCATTACAATGTAAGGAGGGAAGAGAAGCCAGCTGCCTGAGCTGCTGCTACCCCTCCCTTGTGCTCTTGCTATTTGCCACCACCTGGAAAGTTTGCCCTCTGCCATGTGCCGCTCTGCCTTGGCGCCAGCTGAGTATGGACTGAAACCTCCAGTAAGTGTGTGCTAAATAAACCTTTCCTTCCTTCATTTTGGGTGTCAGGTATTTGTCCCAGCAATGAGAGAAGAGTAACTAAGACAATGGAGTATTATTCAGCTATAAAACAGGATAAATGTGAGTTTTTTGTTAATAAATGGATGCTACTAGAGAACATTCTCTTAAGTTAAATAAATCAGACCTGCATGTACAAACATGTTGTCTCCAGGGAGTGAGCATTTTCAAAAGGAAAGAGTTACTGAGTTGAGAAGGACAGGAGAGGGGGAGGAGATATATCTATGTATGTAAGCAGGATAGTTTAGACAACTGTACAGTGCATTTCTGCTAGTTTGTGGAAAGGAGCAGATAATGCTTAATTAGTTTTGTCTCCTTGTTCAATTGTTTGTACTCTTTCTCTTAATTTTTTATATATTTCCTTTTCTTCAATTCGACATGCACATATCTGGCAATATGAATAACTGGTTAGAAGATAGCACCCTGCATTACCACAAATACTGTGAAATCCACATTTCTGTGTTAAGTGAAATTTTGTATCACTTGTATTTTTTTCTTTTTAATACTATTTTGTATTCTCTTTAAAAAATAAAAAAAATATTTTGCTAGTAAGTCTCACTACTCTGAGCTTAATGCTGTTGTCCTCTTTCCTCAGTCTCTCATAGATTTTTGTTTTGTTTTGTTTTGGTTTTTTTGCAGAACCGAGGATTGACCTCAGGCCCTTGTGCTTGCCAGGGAAGCACTTACTCTACTGAGCCATCTCCCCGGCCCTCACTCTCTCATAGTGATAGGAGTGCAGCTGAGCACAACTATATACAATGATCATAGTACTCAGTTGAATTAAACACCAGTTATTTTTATGTCAAAAGTATTTTGAGGGGCCGGGGAGATGGCCAGTGGAATAAGTGCTTCCCTGGCAAGTGCAAGGGCCTGAGTTCAATCCCTGGTTCCGCAAAAAAAAAGAAAAAAAAGTACTTTTAAATTTTTTTCACTGTGAATGCCATTCTGAAAGACCTCATTGGAAATTTCTTCTCCTAGTGTCTATGTGCCTGACATTAGCTTTGTGTATAGTAGAATTTTTTTAGTAGAGGAGAAAACTTAAGCCTATTATAATTTTTCATGCAATAGAAATAACCATCTTTTTATTATAGTGCTTTTTGCAGCATTATATTTGTTTCTGGTAATGTGACTCAGTGTGCCCCCCTCTGATAACTTCAGTCTAATGAAAAACAGTATCACATGCTTTGGACACTGGTCTTCACTTGAAGCAGTGTTACCAGAGGTACACCTTGAACTTGGCAAACCTTTGGTCTCTCTGGGTAGTACACTAACTTTGGGGCCCATGATTTGTTGTTGGAGAAATGCTTAGTGCTCTATAAGCAGTGCACGTTGGAATTCCAAACAGTGACTGGGAAAAGACAAAGACCAAACTGGAACTGACTGTGGGTGTGTGCCTCTGCTCAGAATTGAGACTGAGGACCTAAAATTTCTCCCTGTGAAGTTGGCCACGTAGAAGGTGAAGAAGCCCCAGATTTAAATGACCTGACGTCTCTTATTTCCGTGTCTCGCCACCCTGCATCGAGCTGCTTGGGCCTTGTGCATTTTGTATAACTTCTGGAGTGTGTTCAACTTTCTGAATGTGAATTCCTTCGTGAACTGCAGTGAAACAGGCTTCATCTCTAGTGAGCTTCCCTTTTAATGCTTTTGTAGCAAGTTGGTTGTATAAAATGTAAGTTACCTTAAGGACTTATGAAGTCACTTTCATGACTTGATCAGAAGGTTATTTTCTCAGTTAAACATGGAATGGAAAATGATATCTAAGCAAGCCAAGAGGAATTTGTTGTTGCTTGGTACCAGAGTCTCACTCTATAGTTCAGGCTGGCTTTCAACTCACTATGAAGCCAGACTGATAATAAATTAAATTGTTACTTTCTAATAATAACTTATTGTTTAAATACTTGCAATCTATTTTATTTTCAAAATTCTTGGTGAAATTTAACAATAATACCAATGTAAATATAGTGGACCCCAGAAATTCTCGAGTCATATTCTTAGAGTAAAGGTGTATTATGAATATCCATTAATTTCAGAGATGGTTAGAAAAATGCGTATAAATGACTGTCTTTATAATTTAAACCCTAAATATCCAATATCTCTCACAATTACGTAATTTAAAGCTTTAGAGGTGTGGAGGATTTTAGCAACTTTTTGGGGATGTTAGCCCTTTAAGAAAAACAAAACTGACAGCAGAGACAGCTACACTCAAAACACCACTCTGTCATGATGCCGGAATTGTGGTGCATCTGCCGAAGGTGCTTTTTAGGGCAGCAGCCAGTCACCAACAAGGAGAAGAGTAACATGCTTGAATTAGCTACTTGAAAACCTCCCACTAGAAAAGCAATTGTGGAAGATATTTGTGGTTTCTACAAAATTGCATGGGTTCACACAAACATTTATTACTTAGGTTCTAAGGAAAAGTCTGTGAATGACTGAGACTGTGAACTCTAAATTGCAAATTTGAGGGATTATTGTATATCTTGGGAATATTTAGAACTTTCTTCATTTGGCCTTAGGCAATGGATGAGAGTATCCAGGTGATTGAATGCCTACCTTACTCATATCTCTTACTCCATGGATGACAACTCTCCCACATTGTTGACTCTTTGCTAAATTTACTCTGTGATTTTCTATGAATACTGTTCTTTTATTTTCCTCCCTTGGACATTTCAATAAGTGAGTATTCTAGAGATTTCCTTTGTATTTTAGAGAAGGGTCTATGGGGTGTTCAGGGTCTCACTACTAGATCAGACTCGTATTAATCTGCCTGTTTACAGCCACCCAAGAGCTGGGATTACAGGTATGTGCCACCATGCCCAGTCTCAATTGGGGTCAGCATACTTCAGGGGAGGGACTGGCAGAGCAGGCCTAGAAATTGAACCACTGGCCCCTGCACTTGCTTGCAGGGGCTTTATTACACTGAGCTATTTGGCCAACCCTTTCTGGAGAGTTCTAAGTGAAATACTTTCATGGTTTGTTGTTATTGTTTTTCTGTTGCACTACTGTGCACTGTACTGATCTGTAAATCAAGGGCAAAAGGCTTTCTCACCCATTCCATAGGTTGAGTAGTTCAGAATTTTTCAAGGTTATTTAACTGATATCTATCTCCCTGATCTCCATGAATAGTAACATTCTGTTTTCTCCACACAATGGAAAGAAGTCACTGATCTGAAAATTTTGGTAAACTCCAAAGTAAAGGAAAAGAGTATAGAGTGTATCAATTTATTGTCCATTGGAATAAGTCTTACTTGCTTATTTTCTTCCCTATTTTGGAATTTTTTAAATGAATTTCTCAAGGTTTGGTTCTTATTTTGTTTGGTATTTTATCTTGAGTTAAATATGTTGCAGTCATTTTTTAGATTTATGTTCATTGACCTTTGTTCCCTATACATAGTTTTATACTGTGTACAGAGCAAATATTTTCATGTTTATTTCCTATGATTTTTGTATATTTCAACTTGTCCTATCTCTTTCTTTTTTTTTTGCCTTTCTTTTTTTTTCCCTTTGGTACTGGGGATTGGACTCAGGACCCTGTGCTTTCCAGGCAGGCACGTATTCTACTGAGCTATGTCTCTCTCTGGCCCTTTCACCTTATCCTATTGCTGATGACTAGTTGATTTTGTTCTACAGAAACATTTTTAACATCTAAAACATATTTCACTGTGAATTCTGAAGAGATTCAATTTTGTCTTTCCCATTCCAGTTGGTAAGTTAGTTATTGTCCATAGAGACATGTACAGTACATACCTTTTTCTCCCTGAACGTAACTGAGACATTTTGATCTCCTCCAGACACATAACATGAGCTCTATCATGTATCATCAATACATATGTGGACCCATTACAAATTGCCTTCTCCTTGTGAAATGTATTTGCCGTTGTCTATAATAATAGTATAGTCTCACAAAAGGTAGAATTTTAATTTCTCTCATGTATATTGTGGAAGCTTTTGACCTTATTGGGTAAAAGGTATTAAATAAAGTTAGATATTTTTTTTTTTTTTTTTTTTTTTTTTTGTGGAACTGGGGATTGAACTCAGGACCTTGCACGTGCCAGGCAAGCGTTTATTCTACTGAGCTATCTCCCCAGCCCCTGAAGTTAGATTTTTGTTACACTGTACAGCTACAGATTTTCACAAAATCAGAGGCCTCTTTTATACATGACAATTACTTTTGAAATTATCATTTTTTGAGGAGAGTTTGAGTCAGAGCATCACATTTTTTCACACTACCCTTAAATTTACTGTGTAGCTATGGCTATCCTTACAACTCCTTGACAGTCTTCCTTCCTTGACCTCCCAAGACCTTAGATTAGAAGAGTACATCACCACACCTGGCTTAAGCTTTTGGTGTGTGTCTGATTACTTTGTGATATATTGGTTTTCAATGGATACAATACATTTTATTCATCTCTTTTCTCTCTTGCTGTCCCATATCCCCCTGGAGTTTTTTTATTCATAATTTCTTTTTTATTTTATTGCTTATTTTTTTAAAGAAACTAAAAATAGAAAAAACATTAGAAATGTTCCAAACTTCACTAAGCAAAATGATAGAAATTCAACAATGGTTGTTAGCTTTCATATGCTAATCTTTTGCCAGATATAAGCATGCAAAATTATATCTGAGTGGAGGTGACCATTTTGTGACCTTGAGCTATAAATAAAATGCCACACTTATTTGCAATTTTCTTAGACTTATTCCAATAAAACTTTCTATTAACATTTTAGTTATTCATAACCCTTATTTGATATTTATCTTTAACAAAATTCAAGTTTTAAAATACTGCATAAGTATAATCAAAGAAAGTAGGACTCAATGCCATAAATAAAATTGGAGAAGAGATATCACCATGACCTGTCAAATCCTGATAGTTAATCGTCTTCCCCAGTGTGGTGTATGGTGATTTTTTTTTTTTTAAATGGAACCTAGGATTGAACTCAGGCCCTTACACTTGCCAGGCAAGCACTTATTCTATTGAGCCATCTCCCTGCCCCCTAGATGGTGATCTTGAAAGCCCCTTCTATGAGCCCTGCATTAGAGACATTGCTCAGACATTGCTCTCCCCGGCCCTAAATTTTGAGTCAGGTGCCCTCGCTATGACACAGCTTATTTAGTGCTCCTATTCTGCTGCTCCTTTATAATGAATGTCAATCTAGCATCATAATTGCTCTCTGAGGGACATAGCTCAGTGGCATAGAGCCTGCCTGACAAGCACAAGGTCCTGAGTTCAAATTCCAGTACCAAAAAATGAAGAAAAAATACTTTCTGAAAAAGCATTCATGCACATGGATTTGATGACCAAGACAGAGTCAATCTTTGAAAGATTCACCAACCATATGGCTTTGTAGTTTTCTATTTTGAGACAGGGTCTTATGAAGTTCAAGCTGGTCTTTAACTCAGTTTGTAGGCTTCACTAGTCTCAGACTCATGGCAATCCTTTCTCAGCCTCCTGAGTGCTGGGATGCAGACACTTCCACACCTGTCTTTCGGTTCAAATTTTTATGAGAGAAGTTGAAAGATCGCAGGCCGTGAGTCTCAACCTTTGTTCAAGAAACCTATGTGTGATGATTTAGGAGGCAGTGACCTTTGAAGATGTGGCTGTTAACTTCACCGTGGAGGAGTGGGCTTTGCTGGATCCATCCCAAAAGAAGCTCTACAGAGATGTGATGAGAGAAATGTTTAGGACTGTGGCTGCTATAGGTAAGGAAGATTCCACTTTCTCATTTATACATCCAGAGAACATTGTTGATCATCGGTGCTTTCGTTAAATAGAATGGGAAATATTTTTCAAGAATAGGTCAGGCCTGGTTACATGAATCAAGCCTGGTTATATCTTGAATCTAACTGGCATCTATTCTGTTTTGTTTTGTTTTTAAATTCAGGACCTTACACGTGCCAGGTAGGCACTGTGCCACTGAGCTGTATTCCTGCCCCTGGAATCCATTCGTTTTCATGCAGTAATGTAGTGTCCCCTTATATTTTTATGTCTACAATTCAGGTAGAGCCTGGGATGACCAGGTGGAAGAAGAGCATGAAAATCACTGGAGAAATCAAAGGTAATTTCTACTCAAAAAAAAAAAAAAAAAAGGAATTTTCCTCAAAAGCAGATGCATAAACACAAATATCACAACCAGGGAAATGTGACCATGTATAAATTTACTTAATCTCACAGATATTCTCTAATAATGTGTGTAGTTTTAGTATGCATAATCTGCAAACTCAATATAGAAGTATTGCAGTATCTGAAACATGCTCATATAATTCAGCAAGTGACACTAACATCAAAGTACAAAACTTTTTTCATGATTACCTCCATGAAAATGTATGAAATTTCATTTAGATATTTTGTATAGGTATATATGAAAAGAAACAAATTTTGAGGGTTTTTTTCTTTTTTTCTTTTTGGAACCAGAAATTGAACTCAGGCCCCTGAGCTTGCCAGGGAAGCATTTATTCTACTGAGCCATCTCCCCGGCCCTAAATTTTGAGTTTTGACAGAAACACTTCTTCAGGATATCTATCTATCTGTCTTTCTGTCTATCACCATTATCTCTACATAAAACATTCAGTATCTGAAAGATTAGAAACCTTGAAACAGTATTGAAAGTACCAGTGAGTGCTAGTGCTAGTATTCCAGAGAATTGAGTCCATTCATGTTTTAAAGTTCTTTCACTTTTTTGGGTAGGAATGTTAATTATAGCCTGTATTATAATCAGTATAAAGATTTCTCCAAAAGTAAAAATAGAATTTCCATTTTATTGAAAAATACCTCTCCTAGGTACAGTCCCAAAAAGTTAAATTTTTCATATTATACTGATATAACGTATCAATACACAAAGCAAGACAATTTTTAGCAGCTAACCCATGGAATCAGTCTAGATGTCCATCATTGGATGAATGAATAAAGAAAAATTTTGGTAGGCTTGGCGTGGTGGTACAATCCCAGCACTCTGCTAAACTGATTCAGCAGGATGACAAGTTGAAAGTCTCCATGTGCAACTTTATCATCGGTGATAATCTCTCTTAAAATAAATAGGAAAGCTGGAGATGTAATTCAGTACTAATCCCCATCACTTAAAGAAGAAAAAAGTGCTTTAATTAGATACAAAGATGAATCATAACCATGTCATTTGCACAAAGAAATGGGTGGACCTTCAGCATAAATGCAGTGAATTAAGTCTCAGAATGTGAAATGCCACATGCTTACTCTTATATGAGAAGACAAAAATGTAAATTAGGGAATAAAATAAAGGAGAGGCAATTAAAAAAGAGGAAAACCCTACATTTTGGGGCTGAAGAAGACAAACAATAAGGAGAGAAGAGGGACAACAGTGGTGGAAAAGGTAGCAAAATGATCAGTATGTCAAATATATGTATATCAATCACCCAAAATGAAACTGGCCGTCTGTATTGTAAAATATACTAATTTGAAAGTTCCTACATGAATGCTGTTCTTGGGAATGGCTGTTTCCAAGGTATCCTCCAGGGCATTTAGTTAATTTTCAGAATTCCTTAGGAGAAATGATACCAGAACTTGTGGTAAATCATTAATATGGAGAAAAATTTTATTGTCACTGGTGTTTTTTGTTGTTGTTCATGTATTTTGTTTTTTTAATAGAAATGAAGAGTTGGAGAAATGGTACCCAGTAAATATGCCCACCATAGCTCACACTGGAATGAAGGCTTATGAGTTTTTGGGATTAGAAGAGAAGCTGTATAAATGTAATCAACATGCAAGAACCTGCAGTGATTTTCGCGCTTTTCAGAACGATGCAAGGACAAAGACTAGAGAGAAATCCTATGAATATAATCAGTGTGAAAAGTCCTACTTTGATCTTAGTGAAAGAACTCAGCTTAGAGAGAAGACCTTTGTATGTAAGGAAAATTTGAAAGCCTCCAGTACACCCAGCAATGCTCAGAGCCATGAAAGAAGTCACACTGGGCAGAAACCCTATGTATGTAAGCAATGTGGGAAAGCTTTTAGTACACAACGTTACTGTAAAAAACATGAAAGACTTCACACTGGGGAGAAACTCTATGTATGTAAACAGTGTGGGAAAGCTTTTATTATACATAGAGATTGTAAAATACATGAACGAATTCACACTGGAGAGAAACCCTATGTATGTAAGCAATGTGGGAAACCTTTTAGGACACAAGGTCAGTGTAAAACACATGAAAGGATTCACACTGGGGAAAAACCCTATGTATGTAAACAGTGTGGGAAAACTTTTAGCATACATAGAGTTTGTAAAATACATGAAAGGCTTCACACTGGGGAGAAGCCCTATGTATGTAAACAGTGTGGGAAAGCTTTTAGTACACACAGATATTGTAAAAGACATGAAAGAATTCACACTGGGGAGAAACCCTATGTATGTAAGCAGTGTGGGAAAGCTTTTAGTAGACAAAGTCATTTTAAAACACATGAAAGGCTTCATACAGGGGAGAGACCCTACGTATGTAAGCAGTGTGGGAAGGCTTTTAGTACACAAGCTTATTGTAAAGCACATGAAAAGCTTCACACTGGGGAGAAGCCCTATGTATGTAAGCAGTGTGGGAAGGCTTTTAGTAGACAAAGTCATTTTAAAACACATGAACGGCTTCACACTGGGGAGAAACCTTATGTATGTACACAATGTGGGAAAGCTTTTAGTACACAAGGTTATTGTAAAGCACATGAAAAGCTTCACACTGGGGAGAAGCCCTATGTATGTAAGCAATGTGGGAAGGCTTTTAGTATACAAGGTTATTGTAAAATACATGAAAGAATTCATAGTGGGGAGAAACCCTATGAATGTAAACAGTGTGGGAAAGCTTTTAGTCTACAAAGAAACTGTAAAAGACATGAAAGAATTCACAGTGGGGAGAAGCCCTATGTATGGAAACAGTGTGGGAAAGCTTTTAGTCTACATAAAAATTGGAAAACAAATGAAAGAATTCACACCGGCAAGAAACCCCTATGTATGTAAGCACTGTGGTAAAGCTTTCCACACATGCTGTGACTGTCAAAAACAGGAAACAGTGCATACTAGATAGAAATCCGTGTAAACAGTGACAGCTTTTTTATACAGGGTTATTATAAAGTATATGAAAAAACACTGGGGAAAATGCCTGTGTATATAAGCAATATAAACTTATATAAAAAGTACTTTATAAACACATGAAGTTTCATGGGAGAAAAATCTATATATGCAAGGTGGCGAAGCTTTCAGTACAGGTGGTAAAAGAAAGAGCTCACACTTGACATGAATTCCATATATGAGAGCAATGTGTGAAAGCGTTCATCATACCTGGTGTTTGCAAAAGACAGAATAACTCATACTGGACAGAAACCATATGTGTGTAAAATGTATGAGCAAGCATTATTTATTATTATTTTGGTCAATAACTGGAGAGAAAGTTTATGAACTTAGTTTGGTAATCCTGTGAAAGTTTCTCAAGTAATGGAAGCATATACGACTAATTAATACAATATGCTTGATCCAAGTACTTCTCCACAAAATTTCCATAAAAATGCAGTCCCAAATAAAAATATCTTAATGCACATATATTATGTATATTTTTAGAAAGTCACTTAAGTATGTGGGTTATGTTTCTACAGTATTTAATTAACTATGTTGAACTGGCATAATTAGATATTTTTATATGTCTGGACCTAATACATGGTGTCTTTTAATTAAGCATGATGAAGTGAAAGGTATTTTTTATTTTCAGTTAGAGTTCGTATTTATGTAAGTTTTGCTTTGTCTTTAAAATTAGGAGGTATAGACCATAAAAATTAATTTTCTTAATTACTTTCTGTTAATTGTCGGATTCTCTCTACATTTTTTTTCAGACTTTTGGTGTGTGTACTCTATTCT